CTAACTGTTGGTGTAGAAAAAATTTTTGAAAAAAAAAAGCCAGTATACTCTCTTCTATCTTTATTATAAGCCTCAAAATAATCAATTTACATCTAAGTAAAAAAATTAGTTGATTTATGTTTAATGAAAAATCAGTTAAAATTAATTAAAAACAATAAATAGGTAAAAAATATATTTTTGTTTTCAATTATACCCTTATAATAAGTAAAAAAAGATAAAAATGAATATATGAGAAAATGTAATAAGAGTGTAAATAAATAAGAACAAAATTAAAAAAAGAAAAAAAAATAGGTGTGTTAGCAGTTCGGTGCGCGTGTGAGCAGTTTGGTGCGTTGCTTTATTTCAACTTCCCTCACAGCACGTTGATATTTAATTAATAATTGTTGGACTGTGGACCCAGATCTGGGCCGAACTATTTATTGAAAAATTTGAGAATATCTCAATCAATGGAATAATCAAGTAAGATTAATACATTTCAGTTGACTGTGTCGATTAATTAGGATAATCACCTGATTAAATATAATATAAATCAAATATATAATTTAATTTATATTATCCAGATAATCCGTATATATTAAATGGATATATATATATATGCATATACTATCTATGGATTAACTCATAATTTAATCCAAAATAAACAGATATTGAGTATACATGACAAATATTTAAACCAGTTTTGAATTCAAATAATGACCCTACTTATTGATATAAAAGGATATTTTTGGCAAAAAAAAATGATATTAACAATATATCCAAACTGATGGACATCGTGAATATGTTTACCTTCTCAATATGTCCCTGCCAACAATACGATTAGAATTTAGAGGCTATCATCTATTTCAACTCGCCTCCACTCATTGAGTTTTTTAGCTATTTCTCCTTCTTTTTACGTACTTTTTTTTATTGTTATTTATTTTTTCAACAATCCTAAATTAGGGTTTTTATATTAATAAAATTTGAACATATGAAAATAAACCCAGTCGCAGGATGAATAAGGTAAGCTTTGATTGATATCTATGAATGACATTGACGCATTACCAGTTATTGGTGTAGCTTTAAAGGTATGAGCTTTCACCAATAGCGTACTCACACACAATCACGCTCACTTGCGCTTAAGACAATTTTTTTCCTCATGGCAACAATGAGCATCGTCATATTTATTATTGTGATGATATCTCCATCGTATACATATAATTTCAATAGTCTAAATTAAAAATTTTTAACTAATAATTTTCAAATAAAAAATTATTTTTAAAAAAATAATAGTTAAGATATGATTATATTTATTTTAAATTTTTTACACATTAAAGTAATTTTTTAAAATGTAAGAAAATTTAAAAAAATCAAATCTAAATCTTCGAAATTAAATGTGGATGGTCCAGGTTCCCATATTCATCACTCTTAATGATGATTGATGACCACTGAAACCAATTCCACCTCTTATATCCAAATCGCTACTTCAAATTCAATCTTGAAGGTTTCATGCTCACTTGTATTGGTAGACAAAAAGCTTCCAGTAAATTGGTGTGATGGAAGCTAGCATGTACCATAATACTAGTAGTTCTTGAACACACCAAAAAAAAAAAAAAACAGAACACAATCAACCTTGGTCTCTCTTGCAAAGTATAGAGTTTAGAATAAGTTATATTATTTATAACTTAAAATTAAGAAAATAAATTACATATAAGCCTTTGTTAAAAAAATAATCACTAATAAATTCATTAAGTTTAAATTATTACATGGATAAATTGTATATAACAAGTTGTAAACTTCCCAATTTGACTTGTAAATATTGTAAGAGGACTTGTAAAGAAATTTTCGCTGAAATCCTAAACTACATTTGGAGCAAATCGATTTATATATAAACTATGGACAATTTGATGTCATTGAACATTTGGTATATTATTGAATTTTGGTTTTATAAAAATTCATAAGCGAGAATTATAATGAAGTCTCGAAAAAAAAAATTACAAAACAAATTTTAGAGGTTATCATTCTCTACTCTAAAACTTATCATTATAAGCTGATAAATTTATTATTGAGATTTTTTAGTAATTATTTTTTTTTCTACTATAATTCTCCCAATTTATAATTTTTAGATATAGTAATTCAATCAAAGTAAAAAAAAAAAAGATATAGTAATTCAATAGTAAGCTGAAAACGTGTTTCTCGATCCTTGAGAAAGAGGACCAGGAGTCTTTTGTCTTAATCTGGCCCAGGATCAATCCTTCTGCTCCCCGTGATGAACGAGTACATTGATAATTAAAGACCAACTGTAATTAACTGTCAGTATAAGGTACAATCCAAACGCGGTGATTTGTATTTCTATAAACAATTTCTACGGTGATACGTTTTGTTATACTATGTAGACATATAAACATGTAGACAACATGAAAGTCACTTTAAAATATTAAATTCACAAGTAATTTTAGTTCAGAATTTAAAAAATATATAGAATTAGTTTCCTTTCAAATATATGATGTTTTTATTGAAAGTCCTATATTTCAATATATAAAAAGCATTTATGAATTTTAAGGATAATTAATATATTTTTGCTTAAAATATTCTTAGAGGACATTGAAATTATTTTGCTCTGCTTTATTAATATATCCATTCCTCCTGTATTATTAAATAAAAATAAACTTAAAAAATTAAAATCTTAATTACCTAAATTTTTTCGCAGGGCGTATATTGGAAAAAGACGTCCTATATTGGAAGGCTAGTAAATAAAATACTTTTACTGATTAAAGAATTCATAAAATATTTAACACAAGCTAAGATGAAAAAATAAAAAAATAAAAACGCCTTGAAAACAAATGAGCGAGCGTCCTGGTCCATCAATCCATCATCATCTTTATTTGTTTGTTTATGCGATCAGGATCAGTCCAATCACTGCCAAGTATTCATTCATTATAATTATAATGTGCTTTTGATTTTTGAATCAGGCTTAAAGAAGAAACAATCCATGTTTGAAATATCCCACGGAAAGGGGGAAAAAAAAAAGAAAGACAATTTGTCATTTTAATTTAAATTTTACTGAGTGGTTAATGTTGGTATAAAATTATAAATTTTACTGGAATTATAATTACTGTCAGTATAAATATAATTTTAAATTACTGCAACTGTTACAACTCAAGGTAGTTTAAATAATAAAAATGAGATATTCTTGCTTTAAGTGAGAGAGAGATTGTGTGTAGAAAATCATAAGGATAATATTAAACAGCTGTTTAATATAATCAAACTAACTGTTGGTATGGAAAAAATTTTTGAAAAAAAAAAGCCAGTATACTCTCTTCTATCTTTATTATAAGCCTCAAAATAATCAATTTACATCTAAGTAAAAAAATTAGTTGATTTATGTTTAATGAAAAATCAGTTAAAATTAATTAAAAGCAATAAATAGGTAAACAAATATATATTTGTTTTCAAACATACCCTTATAATAAGTAAAAAAAAGATAAAAATGAATATAGGAGAAAATGTAATAAGAGTGTAAATAAATAAGAACAAAATTAAAAAAAGAAAAAAAAAAAAAAAAGGTGTGTGAGCAGTTTGGTGTGTTGCTTTATTTCAAATTCCCCCACAGCATGTTGATATTTAATTAATAATTGTTGGACTGTGGACCCGGGTCTGGGCCGAACTATTTATTGAAAAATTTGAGAATATCTCAATCAAATAGAATAATCAAGTAAGATTAATACATTTCAGTTGACTGTGTCGATTAATTAGGATAATCAGCTGATTAAATATAATATAAATCAAATATATAATTTAATTTATATTATCCAGATAATCTGTATATATTAAATGGATATATACATGCATATAATATCTATGGATTAACTCATAATTTAATCCAAAATAAACAGATATTGAGTATACATGACAAATATTTAAACCAGTTTTGAATTCAAATAATGACCCTACTTATTGATATAAAAGGATATTTTTGGCCAGAAAAAAACATAAAATGATATTAACAATATATCCAAACTGATGGATATTGTGAATATTTTTGCCTTCTCAATGTGTCCCTACCAACAATACAACTAGAATTTAGAGGCTATCATCCATTAGTTCAACTCGCCTCCCGTGATTGAGTTTTTTTTTTAGCTATTTCTCCTTCTTTTTATGTACTTTATTATTATTATTATTTATTTTTTCAATAATCATAAATTAGGGTTTATATATTAATAAAATTTGAACATTTGAAAATAAACCCAGTCGCAGGATGAATAAGGTAAGCTTTGATTGATATCTATGAATGACGTTGAAGCATTACCGGGGGTTGAATGAGAGAGGTCAGTGGTGCAGCTTTAAAGGTATGAGCTTTCACCAATAGCGTACTCACACACAGTCACCCTCACTTGCGCGTAAAACAATTTTTTTTTTTTTGACCAGCAACTTAAAACAATTTTTTTTACTCGTTGCAATAATGAGCATCATCATATTTATTATTGTGAGGACATCTCCATCGTCTAAATATAATTTCAATAGTCTAAATTAAAAATTTTTAACTAATAATTTTTAAATAAAAAATTATTTTAAAAAAAATAATAGTTAAGATATGATTATATTTATTTTAAATTTTTTACACATTAAAATACTTTTTTTAAATGTAAGAAAATTTTAAAAAAATCAAATCTAAATCATCGAAATTAAATGTGGATTGTCCAGGTTCCCATATTCATCACTTTAATGATGATTGATGAACACTGAAACCATTCCACCTCTTACGTCCAAATCGCTACTTCAATCTTGCAAGCTTCCAATAAATTGGTGTGATGGAAGCTAGCATGTACTACCAAGGCCCAAAAAAATTCCCTTGGCCTTACTTAAAGTGGCTGAAAATGCTATTTTTATAGGCCAACCCACTGAAGGTTTCGCCAACTTAGACCGGTGGATGAACCGACAACAGGTCTGTTTAAAATTACAAGTTATAAACTCGCTTCAACTTCAAAGCCTTCATATCTCATCTACCCTTCTTCTCTAACCTTCACCGTACTCTTCGCCATTAGCTTATTCATATAGTATTTACTCCCCTGGCACATATATTATTTTAGGGTCCCCCGTTTCGTATTTTGGCACTGCATTTGTGTTTACTCCTGCAATGGCTCATTCTGATTCATCTTTTCCACTTAGGTCTCTGCGACAACGAAGGACTGTGTCGTTGCTAATAATATATGGATCTGCATTGTTGTTATTAGTATCAGTGATTCCCACCACAGAAGGACGAAGCTTCACATCTATCTTCGGCTTTGGAGACTCCATTGCTGATACTGGAAACTTGTATTTCAGCTCCCAACCACCACCGTCCCATAAATGCTTCCGGCATCCCTACGGCAAAACCTTCTTTGGCCATCCCGTCGGGAGGTGCTCCGACGGCCGTCTAATCATCGTTTCATTGGTAAATAGCTATATATATGCATATATAAGTCCTTTAATCTCTGCTTTCCCTTCCCTCTTGTAGTTTCTGATTTTGATTTGTGTTTTTCTGGTTTGATGATCGAATTAAATTATATAAATGATTTGTTTTTGTTAAAAAGCAAGAGATAATCTTACTAAAATTATATATGTTTGGTTTTGAAAGCAGCTACTGAACAAGAATAAAGGAAATGGTATTTGTCACCCAAAAAAAAAAAACAAAACAAAAGAAATGAAAATGGTATTTTTATTGTCTTATCTGTTCAAACCAGATAATGTCTTTTTATACTTTTTTGTGTTCTATATCCTTTTCTTTATCATCCCACTTAAAAATTTGTTCTTTGTTGATTAATTGACTGAGTTATGTGTCCGTACAGCTGAGTCCTTGGAGATTCCATGGGTGAAACCATATCTGGGAATCAAGAATGGCCAAGTGAAGAATTGGAACAAAGAGGAAGAGGGAGTGAATTTTGCAGTTGCAGGAGCAACGGCTTTGGATCAAAGTTTCTTTCAAGAGAGAGGAATTACTGTTCCAACCAATGATTCCCTCACAGTTCAATTGGGTTGGTTCAAGGAGTTGTTGCCTTCTCTCTGTAATTCTTCCTCAAGTAAGTTCCCTCCAATTCATTCTTTCACTAATTAATTAAATCAGCGCTCTTAATGATATTATAAGGCATAACTCAACCTTTGTAAGGTAAAAAAGCCACGAACTCCGAACTGGATTAGTCAATTACTTGGACACCCGGTAATAGAATCTAAAAAAAGCACCGAATACCATATCATAATATCAAAAAAAATGATATTTTAAGGCGAAAAATTAGTTGGTTAAGATCACAATGAATTGATTACCTAGTTATTCATTTTGAAATTCCATGTAAAAAGAGTCCTGATTATAGATTAGATGTGTGGGATGGTCTAATATGTTGAGCAAGAAGGGAAGGTTAACATAAGTCTTCACCTTCACCTTTTATATATTCTTTTAGTCTTAAATATAAGATTCTTATATACACTAATATAAGAGTTTTATATTTAAAACCGGAAGAGTATATATATATTATATGCCTTAAGAATTTAGAATAAATCACCGTTTAAAAGGGGTGATTTGTTGTCCCGGAACCCATGGTTCTTTTGATTAAGAGAAAATTTCACTGTAGGACCGCACAAGACAATTAATCTCAAAGAGCCCCCAAAACTTTCTGAAACTTCACTGCAGGACCAAGGGGCCAATCTGATATTAATTCCACAAACGAAATGATGACACTGCCCCTAGTAGAAGGGAACAAGTGCGGGAGAGTGCATTTGCAAGGGGAACTAGCCAATTTGCAGAATAAATACATATGTTCACACGTGGAATCAGTCCGTTCACATGTGGACTGGTTCACCTGATGAATGCGTCCGTGAGGGAACAAGTGCGGGAGAGCGCATTTGCAAGGGAAACTAGCTAATTTGCAGATAAAATACATATATTCACACGTGAAATCAGTCCGTTCACATGTGGACTGGTTCACCTGATGCATGCGTCCGTGAGGAAACAAGTGCGGGAGAATGCATTTGCAAGGGGAACTAACTAATTTGCAGAATAAATACATATATTCACATGTGGAATCAGTCCGTTCACATGTGGACTGCTTCACCTGATGCATGCGTTCGTGAGGAAACAAGTGCGGGAGAGCGCATTTGCAAGGGGAACTAGCCAATTTGCAAAATAAATACATATATTCACACGTGGAATTAGTCCGTTCACATGTGGACTGGTTCACCTGATGCTAAGGGTAGTGGCGTCATTTCGTTTGTGGAATTAATATCAAATTGGCCCCTTGGTCCTGCAGTGATATTTCAGAAAGTTTTGGGGGCTCTTTGAGATTAATTGTCTTGTGTGGTCCTACAGTGAAATTTTCCCTTTGATTAATGAGATGCTTTTATATTTTTGTTATTTACTTTACAAATACTAGCTATTATATTACTTATCATATTGACGCACGTTTTACAATTTTGCTGACATTTACGAATTATTTAATTGGCTCGATGTGAATGGAGTCTATTGTTTAACTTTTCTGTTGTCCTTTTGTTTCGTTCCTTAAAGGAAGGTGGTCCCCTTTGAGGGCCAGGGGTGGACGCTGGACGTAGCTACGTATAGGTCTGGTTGAAGGTGGCCCCCTCAATTATTTAAAAGAGGAGGGGAAAAGGGAAAAAGACAAAGAACTTTGCTCCTAGAAAGAATTAATGATGGGACTTATTTGTTATTAAGATTTTTATACGGAACCCATTTGTCATTTTTGCCTTTAAAATTTGTGTGGATATCATAGAAAATGTCTATGTTATGCCTCCATTTTAATTTAAACCCTTATTAGTCCTAGTCGTATATATTCTATGATTTTATTTTTATTTTCATTTTCATTTTCATTTCTTTCTATTTTTTAATTGCTCTTTACTTAGATAAGATTTTAATTAAAAAATAAAAAAGAGCTTCTATATCATTCTTCTTTCCCTTTAACACCCTTTCCCATTAATATCTTCTTCTTTTTTTCCCTACTCCCTTATTTTCATATTCTCCCAACATTGCCATATTTTTCTCCCCATCTGCTTCATGAGTATAATTTTGTGGAAATAGCACAAAACCTTTTGATATGTTGTTACATAAAATAGTTTTTTTTCTTAGTTAATATATTTATTTCTATTTACAAAAAGATAATCATAACTATTTATGTTTTGACGCACAAAAAAATTCTCCCTGAAATACTCTAAACTGTTTTTTTATTATTATTGTGGTACTATTATTAATTGGATAATACACTTTTCTAGTATATCCTCGCATACGAAATTACGTTTTCATGAATGTTAAAATAGTGAAACCGTTGATATAAACACTTAGCATCCCTTTGTTGTAAATTTCAATGACTATCTAAATTTCTTAAGAAAAATATTCTTAGTCTGTCAATTTCACTTTGATAATATAAAATTATCTTAATTATAATGTTGCAGGTTGCAAGAAAGTCTTAGGAAAATCATTATTCCTTGTGGGAGAAATAGGAGGGAATGACTTTAATCATCCTTTTGCTTTAAGAATGAAGCTGTCTGAGGTGGAAGTCTACGTGGGCCCAGTGATTAGTGTGATATCTTCAACAATCAAGGTAATTTTTCTTCCTTTTATGAAAAAAAAAAGAAGCTAAACTATATAAAACTCCCATGAACTATGATTCAGTTACATGTAATATCCCTGACATCTAAAAAAAAAAAAAAGTACTACATTAACTATAAACTCTTCATTAATTCGTACCTTATTCTGCTGATGATTGCCCCCCAAACAAAGAAAAAATGAACTCATGAAGTCTAAACTTTAAGCTGTGCTAGCTTTTAATTCTTGATAACTATAATAATTTTACAAATAATGTTAATTTTTAATAAATTAAGTTTGGTTCCTTAATTTCATTGGTGGACAATTGGACATTATAGAGTGCCTCACTTTACTCATTGTTATGTTTGAACGTTGTAAACTGTGGTCTTTTCTTTTCTTTTTCTTTTTTTTAAGATTCTTTAACTGTCATTAATATTCCTAAGAAGGTCCTTAAATGTCATTTGCTCTCCCCGTTCTAAATATTTTTTACCCTCCCAAATTTTATGCAAACTCCATACTGCCTCCTGTCATTAATATAAAAACTAAACAAGAAGTTTATTTTAGTTCTAAATATAAAATTTTAATTCATTTTCTTTCTCAAATTTATAATTTTTAGTTCAAAATATTCCTATTAATTACATGTGTTAAAAGGTTTTATCAAGAAATAGTTTCAATACACATGATTAATAAGTATATTTAGAAAAAACAACACTCATTTATTATAAATAATTAACTTAACTAATTTGTTTAATATTCTTAAATTAGTTATCTAACTTTTATGTTAGAAAATGAAGACATTGCTGTATATAATTAAATCCTAACTTCAGCACTATCTTCTGTCATTGAAACTAAATTTTACCCTCCCAATTTATGCAAACTCCATACTGCCTCCTGTCATTAATATAAAAACTAAACAAGAAGTTTATTTTAGTTCTAAATATAAAATTTTAATTCATTTTCTTTCTCAAATTTATAATTTTTAGTTCAAAATATTCCTATTAATTACATGTGTTAAAAGGTTTTATCAAGAAATAGTTTCATTACACATGATTAATAAGTATATTTAGAAAAAACAACACTCATTTATTATAAATAATTAACTTAACTAATTTGTTTAATATTCTTAAATTAGTTATCTAACTTTTATGTTAGAAAATGAAGACATTGTTGTATATAATTAAATCCTAACTTCAGCACTATCTTCTACAAGATGGCCTACGGTTTGAAACTCACTAGGACGTTTTCAAGATGCTCCAAAAACAATTCAGGAATATAATTTGTCGATAAATGTAGTAATATATCGATCTATAAGAGTGCATATGACAATATGGATTGAACTTGATTTAGAAGTCATCACTTCTGATGATGATTTGTTTTATTTTAATTTCATCAGTTTCTTGTTATGAACACATCTTATTGTTTATACTACCTTCGATCATTAATATAAGAGTTAGTTTGATTTTCAATTTGATTCTAGACATAAGATCTCAATCCACTTTATCTCTTATATTTATCTATTTTTTTCAAACTTAGTCATTGTAGTAGTTGAACATATTAAAAGTTTCATCAAATAGTAATTCTAGCTAATACAAATTATTAGTAAGGGTATTTTAGAAAAGAAAACACAGGTTTATTATAAGTAACTAACTTAACAAACTTTCTTTATCTACTCAAAATTAATCAACTAGATCTTATATTAAGGAGTGGAGGTAGTATTTGAAAAGTTTGTATATGGTACTCAGTTTTCTTTTACATTGTTTATACACATATATAGATATATATATTCTTTCGTAAATTAATTTGTTGTTTTAAATTGTAGGAGTTGATACATCTAGGAGCTCAAACGCTTATTGTTCCTGGAAATTTTCCAATTGGGTGCAGTGCATCCTACTTAACAAGGTTTCAGAGCAATCATAAGAATGACTATGACAAAGCAGGTTGTTTGGTTTGGTTAAACAAGTTTGTAGCGTTTTACAACAAGAGGCTCCAATCTGAAGTGAATCGCCTTCAACAGCTTTATCCTCATGCCAATATCATTTATGCTGATTACTACAACGCTGCAGTGCCACTCTATCATTCTCCCAGCAAATTTGGTAATATTTATCACTTTAAATTACTCACAACTTTTTTACAGGATTAAGTAGCATCCATCGTCTTGAAATATTTTTCTAGTAGCACTCGTTGTTGTAAACTAACTTTTGACAATCCGAAACCCTAAAGTATTCTTTTAGTAACATCCCATATTCTAAAATGTTTTTCTAATAACATTCAGTATTCTAAGTTTAGATTACTCTTTGCTACTGAGAAAATCTTTTATAATGCTAAATACACCAAAAATTAGTTATGAATAATGCTATATTAAAAACAATACTTTAGGGTGTTGGATACAACTTAACTCTTTTTAATATATAGTTTTACATTAAAAATATGTAATTAAGGCACTAATATAATTAATAATCAATAATCAATCTCAGTATAAAACATAAGACTTCTTACAAGCTCTGCTTTTCACAAACAATGAATAGTGAGATTTACTTTTGAATTTTGAGCAATACAAGAGACCCATGTCTATATATGTCTAGTTTGATAAATACATGATCTCTAACTAAAGGGGTTCCGTTTATTGCATAGAATTTGAGTAATAAAAGAATCTATTTATGATTTCTATGTATAGTACGACTTAATTACTATAGATTCTCTACATATTATGCATTGAAAAAACATATTTTCCAAGCACTCATTATCTAAATCGTATGAATAATTTGGCACTAACATATGTTTAGTTTCATGGAATAAATTGAATAATGATAGGTTTTACAAGTCTGAAAGCTTGTTGTGGAATTGGAGGTGCATACAATTTCAAAACTTCAATAGTATGCGGAGATGAAGGAGTAAAAGCTTGTGAGGATCCTTCTAAGTACATAAGCTGGGATGGTGTTCATTTGACTGAAGCCGCATATAGATTCATCGCCAAAGCTTTAGTAAATGGACTCCTGACTACTCCTAAATTTGATGCCTTGCACTTCAACAATCATATCACTACTGGTTCTTCCTATATGGATCAATCTGCTTAGTTTTTGACTACCTTGTAAGGCTAAATACTCTTGGGTGACCAATAGTGAAGTGGTGCCGTTGGGAAAGGGTGCAAAAAACCCCATTGGGGAGTGAATTCACTTAGCTCTTTGTATTTTAAATGCTTATATATATATATATATATATATATATATATATATAAAGATAATAGTGCACTTTTTCATCCTTTAACTTTATATAATACTCCTCCGGTCCTTAAATATAAGACTCATTTAACTAATTTGATTAGATTAAGGAAGTTAGATAAGTTAGTTAATTATAAGAAATATGACACATTTTTCCTAAAACACCACAATCATCTTTCTTAATACCTCATCTCCCTCTTTTACTTGATTATGGTTGAGAGAGTATTTATAGGGGTAATTTAAAGAAAATTGATAAATATGATAAATGGATCTTATATTTAGGACCAAAACCAACTCAAGAATTGGGTCCTATATTAAGGACCGGAGGAGTATTTTATTTTGATACTTTAGTTTTATAAAATATTTTTCATTCCTATAATGCTAACATTGATCCCAAATGATGATTTTTCTTTGTACTCATTGTTATTTAAAAAAAATCAAATTTAATATATTAGTATTTAAGGATATTTTATCAACATTTGAAATTTTAATATCAGCATTTTTTGTTTAAAAAACTAATTCTATTAGGGGTTAGAGTACTGAAAAATATTTTGTAAAATTAAGAGATCAAAATAAAATCTTATATAAAATTGAAGGATAAAAAATACGCTCTTGCCCCACACACATATATGATTTCTTGCATTGCACGGTTATATGTTTGATTCATATCATATTGTGATGCACTAGTTAATCTTATTTGTATCTATGCATTCGCATCAATTATGGACCGTTTGATTAATCCTATATGTGGCACGCAGCACTATGCCCGACACTATCTTTTCTTTTTCTTTGTTCTTTTTTTTTTTGGTTTTATGGCCTATTTTAAATAATCACGTATTATCTCTTCAAAATAAAAGTTTCTAAAAGGCTGTTATAATATAGTAATTGCGATATTGATCAAGTCTACCTATTGAATAAAATAATCAACTGTAATGATCATTATCTCGTAAAGCTTGGAATGAAACATATATAGAAAATTCGAATTATGTTCAGATTGGAGAACTTTAATTTTATTTCATGAATTAGTGAAAATACTTGTAAATTGTTCTTGTGAAGTTATTTTCCAGTTTCCTTGAGTTACAAGTGGAATTTTTAAATTATTACTGTTGGCTTTTTATTAGTATATATTTTTCATAATACTCGGGAGAGAAATAATCGTGACATGGAAATGAAAGAATCTGGAGTAATTAATAAACAAATATTGCAGAATTAAAAGTAGCTCTAGTCATCAAATGAATGAATTGTTCAGAGTTCATATGACAGTTGGTTTAGTTGCCCTAGTTACGACGGAATATCAAAACTTTTTCAATGAGAGATAGCAAATGATTACTTTACAACAAAAAAGAAAAATTAGTGTATACAGTATACCGTTAGTGCAGTTCATTAATTAATTGATCCAACGATAATTTTTTAATAAAAAATAGTGTAAAGTCAAGAGTGGGATTCGATGTATCCCAATATAATATTAGAATAAATTATTAGGACCGCAAGTAATGGTGATATGCCCATTGGTGAAATTATTCAATGGCGTTATCACCATATAAAGTGACATAAAGTATGCTTAAAAAGAAAAGAAGGTGAAATGATTGAAAACTTTGTGACCTCTTAGTGAAAAATATTATTTAAATTTGTAAATTTACTTTTTTCAAATATTAAAAATTTAATTTAGATTTAAAAAGTAACTTTAATTGTGAGGGTGAAGATAATTTAGTCATCAAAATTTATTCCTGGTATTTTCCAGAGGTGGATTTTAGTCATGTAGAATAATTTCATAAATTTATCAGCCATAACAATTTAACTTAAATAACTTGAGGGATGGATGATGGATCCAGAGACTAACAAAATGTGGCTAGAAAATGGAAAACTACCTAAACGTGAGGAATCAAAATGAATTTTAACCTTTCTACAAACAAAAATAAACCAATTTTTAAAATAAAATTATTTTAAGCTCTGGAGAAAATAATATATTGTGGTTAATGTGCAAATTTGTTTTGAAAGATGTTGCTTAGAAATGCTAGGCACTGAAAAAAAGTTTTAAATACAAATTTATCTTAAAAATTTAAAATCATAACCACGTTACCCCTTATCATTAAAATAACTTTTGGGTACTGTTGTTAAAGGAAAATTTTTAAGATAAATTTATACCTCAACCTATATAATTATAAAAAAGTTTTAATAAATAAGCAATATAAATCTGTTGTTGTTACCAAAAATTATCATTACATGCTAATCACTCGTTGTTTTAAGCGCTGCACACTTCTTATGAAATTTTTCAATGATTAAATTTTTTTTGGATATCACAATTATTTTTCCAGGAAAAAAAACTTGGAGATCCGTCCCTAAATAGCTTCTTTTATTTGGTTCTTAGCATAATTTCCCAAATTCAAAAAAGTGAATAAAGAATGGGAGAATTACAATAAAATCCCACAAAAAATAATTACAAAATAAATATTAAAAATTGTTATTTTCTACTCTAAAACTTTGCATTACAAGCTATTTAGATTATTATTAAAAAATTTTACTCTGCGAGAGCTGTTTGATTTGGCTAAGATTATCGATCAAGTGGAAAACTTTGATAATTAATATAATCCTCTGGTCTTATTTATAGGACAGAGAGAAAAGATATTTTTTGTCCTATTTATAGGGCATTGAAAAAAAATTTGTATGGATTTACCATTTATTATTGTGTTAACTTTGTTATATAAAGTATAATGTATGTTAAATAAGGACAAAGTTAGAAAGTTGTTGAATTTTAAATTAGAGTTAATAAAATTTAAAGTTTTTCTTGGTCTGTGTGAAACATATTGAAGTAACTTATAAATAGGATCAGGGAGTAACAATCTTTAATATTATATTTGAACCAAGATTAGTAGGAAAAAGTAGGGTTTAATTAATTGTTATTAGGCAATGACAATATCCCCAATCCTTAGATAAGAAAGCCATAAGAAAGATTTACTTGATTAATTTAGTATACTTAATTGATTATATTAAAAAGCTAGATAATATTTAATTATAATAAGTATGACATAATTTTTCTAACATGTCCTTATAAAATATTAAATTATATATAAGTTTATAAATTAGATAAATTATTTTTAAAGAATAATAAATATGAAAAACAAAACAAATTAAGATCTTATGTTTATAATTAAATTTAACTCTTTAACTAATTTCTATATTAACCACCGGAGGCAGTAGGATACAGAGATCAACATATGGGAAGCCAAAAATCAAATGAAAAACTACATAAAAACGGGTAGTAAATTTTTCTTAGAAACAAAAATAAACCTTTTTTTTTAAAAAAAAAAACCAAAGCACACTTGGGAGGTTCGTCCCTAAAATAACTCCTATGGTTAGGTGCTTCGCATGATTTTTCCAAATTCAAAAAGGTGAATAAAGAATCTGGTTAACAATTTCTTTTTAACAAAGGAAAAAGTGAATAAAGACAAGTACGTCGGTCGCAATTATCATTGTTCCGTACTTTGGAATGGACAATGAAGCGACCGCACATGGCGTGTCCGCAGAAACTGATTCGTGTTCAGAGCTGCGTGAAGCAGTACGAGTCTGGCATTGAAATCCAACTGGATCGGCCTGTTGGGTTGACACTAGTGACCCCCTGTCTTTAGATCAACAGTTAAACAGCTAATTTAAAAATATTAAAAAAATAGTTAAATTGATAATTTATCGTAAATTTGTGTTAGTTTTTTTTAAATTATCCTCTTCAGTCATGAGTGTTAGATGAGTGAAATTATTTTTTAATGAAAACCTCTTACAATTAATAAGAATATTTCAAAAAAAAATGACAAACAAAATAAATTAAAATCTTATATTTAGAATCCAATTCAATCTTTAATTAGATTTTATATTTAGGACTGGAGTTAGTAATTTGGTTTCATTTTGACTAATGTGGGCTTAACGCCGTGTCACTCTGCTAACCTGAATCCGACATGTTGAAATGAGTTGCATATTTTATATATATATATATATATATATATATGCCAAAATGAATTGTATTTTTTTTACCAGGAAAGCATACTTCAATTACTAATAAGAGACTGAGGGTGTGTTTGGATGAAATCAAACCGTGGTTTGGAAAAGTGATTCTGGAGAATAGATTCTGGAAAAAATAGATTCTGTGAAGAATAGATTTTGTAAAAAAGTGATTCTGAGAAGTGAGAGTGTTTGGATAGTTGTTATCAGAAGCACTTTTTATATATACAAATTACTAAAAAAAAGACATAAGTTAATATAATAATTACAGAAAAAATAGATTTTATGATATATTTTAATTTGAAGAAATAAAATTGTTAATAATATGTTTTTTACCAACATAATTAATAATACATAAGATAATATAATTAATAAATAATTAATGTCTATATATATTTATAAAATATAAGATTAAATATATTTATAAAAAAATATCTTTATAAAAAAAATAACAAGATACATATCATATAGGCCCTCACACTCTTCCTTTTTTCTCCAAAAGCAAAAAAATTTTGCTTTTTCCAAAACCATGGTTTTGGAGTCAAAACCATGGTTTTGACCCAAAACCATGGTTTTGGTTTTTGGAGAGGCTGTTTGGGTAGCATTTTCCCCAAACCATGGTTTGGGGTGCTATCCAAACAGAGCCTGAAACAAACAATTCAACAAAAAAGCAAAAGAGAAAAAAGACAGCAACAAAAGGTAGTCAACAAACAAGCTAGAGAACTGACAAATTAGCTAATGGCTTCCTTTTTAGCCTCAGAAACATGCTGGTCAGAACTGCAATTTTCAGCAAGAGTGGCTTCACGAAGAATGATAATAGCTAGAGGAGGTGGAGATTCCAAAATCAGATTATTAGGTCCCAACTCCATTAAAACTATAACAGCCAAAAGGTCAGCAATATCATTTCCCTCACGAGGAATGAGAAAAAAGGAAAAGGAACTTCAATCAGTCACCAAATCAAAGATCTCAGCAAGCAAACCATGTAGTAGTAGCCAAGGGCAAAACTGAGAAGATTT